CGCTTAAAATCGATTTCTGTACTCCACCCCGACGAGCGGAGTAGCACCAAAATCGATTTTGTAAATTCGAATTAGAGGTAGTGTGGCCGCACACCACCAAATTAATGTGGTTAAAATTAATGGGGTAGTGTGGCCGCACACCACCGAATTAATGTGGTTAAAAACCGAATTAATGTGCTTAGTGTGGCCGCACACAATCGAATTTATACAATCTGTTTCCCAAATTCGAATTATCGAAATTCGAATTAATCTCGTAGTGTAGACGTACCCTTAAACATGGGAGACCAGAACTGCACACAATATTCCAGATGGGGTCTCACCAGTGCCTTGTATAATGGTACTAACACCTCCTTATCTCTACTAGAAATACCTCACCTGATTCATCCCAGGACCGCATTAGCTTTTTTTCATGGCCATATCACACTGGCGGCTCATAGTCATCCTGTGATCAACCAATACTCCGAGGTCCTTCTCCTCCTCTGTTACTTCCAAGTGATGCGTCCCCAGTTTATAACATAAATTCTTGTTATTAATCCCTAAATGCATGACCTTGCACTTTTCACTATTAAATTTCATTACTATTACTCCAGTTTACAAGGTCATCCAGATCTTCCTGTATGATATCGCGGTGATTCTCTGTATTGGCAATACCTCCCAGCTTTGTGTCATCCGCAAACTTTATTAGCACATTCCCACTTTTTGTGCCAAGGTCAGTAATAAAAAGATTAAATAAGATTGGTCCCAAAACTGATCCCTGAGGAACTCCACTAGTAACCTCCCTCCAGCCTGACAGTTCACCTTTCAGTGTGACCCGTTGTAGTCTCCCCTGTAACCTCACCCTAAGTGAAAATCTCACCCTAAGTGACTTAGGAGCCTAAATCCCATTGTTTAGTTTTCTGAGCATTTTACATTAGCATCCACTTAAAGTACTAAGTGCAATTTGACAATGTTCAGAGAAAAAAGTAAAAGAAAGCAAGAAAGAATGAAAGAGAGAAGTTACATATTGCCCCTCTGCTGTGATTAGTTACCATCCTTTGGCTTTTGGTTCGATCAAAACATCTCTATCCATCATAGTATCATCCTGACCTTATCTTTAGGAGGGGTCAGTGTGTCCCTGTATCATCTTTGGGGAGTGTGTTAACCTTGTATCGGGGTGTTCTGGTACAACCTGTGACGTTGCACTCCATAATGTTTTATGGAAATATGCTTATGAGTGTGAATGTAATATAACTGGAATATGCTTTATGCAAAAGCTCTCTTGTAAGGTATCATTACAAAGCTTATAATCTACTGTGTGTGTTCATCCTATTTGTATGTATGTATCATACTTGTATCTGAAGCTAGAAATATAAAGCATAACTCTGAGGTCCTATTGTAATTATGCGAAGTGTGGGCCATTGATGGTGCTTTAGAATCTTGATGGCTCCCATTGACTAGGACAATTGGTTGTAAATGGTCTGTTTACTTGCAAACCTTCCTGGGTGCATGTGGCCAGCCCTGGAAGAATGAAGGCTGGGGTCTCACAGGACATGTGACCATGTCACTTGATACTGGAATTCATCTTGAACCTGGTGCTTTTCCATTTAGAAGGAGGGGTGGGGACCCAGAGAGACAAAAGATTCCCGCCTTGTGCAAAAGCTATAAAAGGGGGTGGAACAGAACAAAGGGGGTGCCCAGTCATGTGAAATCCCCTGCTTTTCACCTAAGATGCCTGCTGGAACTAACAAGGGCTGTACCAGGGGAAAGGATTGGGCCCAGACTAGGAAGGAGTCTAGTCTATGAAAGAAGCTTATTGGAAAGTCTCTGAGGGTGAGATTTACCTGTAAACAGTTTCTTAATGTATTAGGCTTAGACTTACGTGTTTTGTTTTATTTTGCTTGGTAACTTACTTTGTTCTGTCTAAAGAACAGGAGTACTTGTGGCACCTTAGAGACTAACAAATTTATTAGAGCATAAGCTTTCGTGGGCTACAACCCACTTCTTCGGATGCATTTGTTCTGTCTGTTATTACTTGAAACCACTTAAATCATACTTTTTATACTTAATAAAATCACTTTTGTTTAAATTAACCCAGAGTAAGTGATTAATACCTGGGGGAGCAAACAGCTGTGCATATCTCTCTATCAGTGTTATAGAGGGCGGACAATTTATGAGTTTACCCTGTATAAGCTTTATACAGAGTAAAACAGATTTATTTAGGGTTTGGATCCCATTGGGAACTGGGTGTCTGGGTCCTGGAGATAGGTGACCTGCTGAACAGTTTTTGGTTAAAGTCTGCAGATTTGGGGGTGTGGTTCAGACCTGGGTCTGTGTTGCAGCACGCTAGCGTGTCTGGCCCAACAAGGCACGATTCTATAGTCCCAAGCTGGCAGGGAAAACAGGCTCAGAGGTAATTTCAGCACTTCAGGTGACAGTCCCAAGGGGGTCTCTGTGATCGAACCCGTCACACCACCCTTCTGGAATGTGTTTATGTGAATACTTAGTGCCTAGGAATGCTTGTGTTTTTGCAATGCCAGCTGTGTTCTTGCCAAGTTCATGTATCTGGTAGTGAACATGCAAGCAGGCCTCTGCTTTGTAACAGGGCCTTATGATACACCTTACACCCAGGCTCCTTATACCAGGTCTCAGGCTCTCTCTTTCTGCTACAGAGATCACCTCACTGGTTATTGCTGAGATTGGTCCGAACTACTCACAATCTTAAATGGATTGCTATCTTCACGCCAGCCCTATAAGGCAAAGTATTATTGCCCCCATTTTACAGAAGTGGGATTACACAGGGCAGATTAAGTGCCTGGCCCAAGGTTATGTGAAGACAAGCTGCAAATAGAATCTGGCTTCCCTGGGTCTCTGATCATTAATTGATCCACCAGATCATCCATCTAACCCACTTTGAGATCAACATCATCAAACTGTCCTCTCCCTCACCCCATCAACCAGGAATAACTCCCCTGGAGTCCATAGGGGCTGATTCTTCGCTCACTCTCCTCTGTATAAATCAGATATAACTCCATTGAAGTCAGTGTAGTTACACTACTCTAAAACCAAGCTAAATGAGAAGTGTAATTTTCACTTGAGCGGACTTTTATGGTAGATTAAGGGGGGGAAATGAATGAAGGGAAAACAAAGCCTTCCATGAGAGAGAGCATGGTGTGTGTCTCTCTTTCTATTACATTGACTGCTTCATGGAACATTCACCTGGGACTGGGAGGCTCCTTAGAAATTTGAAGATGAATTACATTACCCTAGGTGCTCCCTGTAAATGGTTCCAGGGGGCAACACATATAACTCTACAAAAAATGGTCAGAGGGATTCTGGGGGAAATCGAAGAGACAGTAGCATCTTCCCTTATGAATTTTAGGCCAGCAGTAAGAGCACCCACCTGGGCTGTGGGAGACACCCCAGTTAAAGCCCTCCTATGGTTGATCAGAAGAATGGATTGGACAGGTATCTTCCACCTCTGAAGTGACTGCCGTGACTACTGGGATAGAGTCATTTTTGTTCACTATGGGGCCCAATTGTTTATACACAGTGGGATAGCTTCAAGAGGAGAGATTGGAAGTGTGCCATATTAGGATATCCCTTAGTTAGATTCAGCAGAATTCAATTTTTATTTTCATTTTGACTTATAATATCAGTGTTTACTTGTCAGCATTTTTTCCTATTTTGATCATGTAAATGTTCACATTTGTGCAAAATTATGAGATTGATGTATTTTTTTCTGATTTTTATCAATTTAAATGTTCACACTTGTGGGAAATTGCAGGGGCGGGGTCAGACAACAGAGCGGTTCAGACAATCATTATTTAATGAGATAGGTGTTGACTTCAAAAAGTTAAAACTTTATAACAATTAAAACATAATCTAACAACATCACATGTTAAAATACACAAGGTAAATGTCCTTAAATCAAACTTTAATAGGTTCTCAAGCAGCATTTTTCTTACTTTGCCTAGCTGTACCTTCTATTCTGAGCCATTGAAATATTTTTCATTTTGTGTGTGTACAATGAAATTGCAGTTTACTGGCACTTATCAATTAATATCTGATCCTTCAAGCCTACCTTTAGGCCAGTGGTTAGAGCATGTAGCTAGAAGGTAGAAAACCCATGTTCAAATCCCTTCTTCTCAGGCAGAGGAGGAAATTCAACTGGGGTCTCCCATAGACTGAGTGCCCTAAGCAGTGGGCTAGAGCTTATGAGAAACTTTCTCCTCTCCCTGTCATTTCATGCACTGTTGCACATGCTCTGAGACTGCCTACTAGATGAGGTACATCACATGTAGGGATAGGCATGCTTCGGGCCCATGAATCTTGAAAGGTGCATTGTGGGGATATTGACCATTGTAGCAGAGAAGAAACATCTTGCAGGTTTTGCATCTGTTCTTATGGGCAGCTGGCTTCTGAATATGAGCTTGGCGAGTTTGGGGAGCTGTTTGAAGAACAGAAAGAAGAGGACTGGGAAAACTTTCATTCAGGACGTGGTCCCCAGAGAGTATGGGTTATAATTGTTTAATGATACTTAAATTCATAACTGCTAGACAGCAAAAATCATGGATTTAATAAAGACACTGGATTTAGGGCTCATTGCAATGATCTTTAACCAACTAACCCTCCTTTGTCCTATGACTGCAGAGGTGTTCACTGCCCAGCTCACCATGAATGTTACACCCTGCACTGTAACAAACTTCATCATTAATAAACCCCTTAAGTTCCCACTGAGAGCAGTGTTGAGTTCAGTATGTCCTGGGTGTGTTCTACCTTCCCTGCAGTGCAACAATTGCAGCTCATTGTAGCCCTATGCAGATCTATGGTCCATCCAGTCTACCATGAGAGTCAGCGTATACCTGGTCCTGCAGTCCTTACTTATAAACTGGCCCTTCCTCATGCCTGGGGTCTCATTGTTGGTATTGAAACAGCCCTAATAATTAAAGATGCCCACATGTTCTGTGGCTTGCTACATTGCACCACATGATGAGCTCCTACTATACACATTTTAATGCAACTTAGAGTAAATGCCTACAAAATAGTTTGTGATTGGTTATAAAAGTCATAGTCTTACTTAGAGCTTTTTTCAGGGCCTCCTTGACCTCCTTGTTTCTCAGGCTGTAGATGAGGGGGTTGGCCAGGGGAGTCAGGACAGTGTAGAAGACAGAGAACACTTTGTTCAGGTCTCGCAGTGTAGCAGTGTCTGGGAGCATGTAGACAATGATCAGGGTTCCATAGAAAATTGTCACCATGATGAGGTGAGAGGAGCAGGTGGAAAAGGCCTTTTGCCTCCCAGTGCTGGAAGGGATTCTCAGGATGGTGGTGATGATACACACGTACGTTGTGAGGGTTAATAGAAATGGGGGTAGGGTAATTATGGAAGAGAGAAGGAAGGCCACAAGAACCATCTGGCTGGTGTCACTGCAGGACAGTTTGATCAACGGGGTGTAATCACAAAAGAAATGGTCAATTTGATTGGGACCACAGAAAATCATTTGTGATATCCAACATGCTACAATGGTGCTGGCGACAAAGCCACTTAACCAAGACCCAGCTGCTAGCTGGGAGGAAAATCCATTATTCATATGGGCTGCATAATGCAGTGGTTTGCATATCGCTAAATACCGATCATAAGACATCGCTGATAAGAGACAACATTCTGTAGCTAACAGAGAACCAAATATATCAAATTGTAGGAGGCATCCAGCAAATGAAATGGTTCTGTCCCCAGTCAGGAGACTGGCCAGCATCCTGGGCAGGACGGTGGAGCTGTAGCAGGTCTCCAAGCAGGACAAATTCCCCAGGAAGAAATACATAGGGGTATGAAGGTGATGATCAACCACAACTAACACAACAATGAGGATGTTCCCACCCATGGTCACAATGTAGATCACTAGAAAGAGCAGGAAGAGAAGAATTCGCAGTTCATGGAGATTCCCAAAGCCCAGGAGGATGAATCCCATGATGGATGTTTGATTTCCCTGTTCTGCATCTGCCATGGGTTCTATCGAGAAATATATATATATTTATATTATAATTTAATATATAAATTATTATATACATATATAAATATATATTTAATTAAATGTTATATATTTAAATAGCAACAATAGCCTATGAAATATGACATAAAATAGATAATTTTGTTTTATCTTGTCTCACTTTATATTTGTTGTTTAGTTCTTATTTTGGAGGCGATATAATAGGTGTCACAGAAAGTAGGTGGAACAATGAAAATCAACGGGACACCGTAATAAGAGTGTACAAAATAGATAAGAATGACAGAGCAGGTTACATTGATGGGGGTGTGCCATTATATGTGAAAGAGTCAAATGGAGTAAAAATCTTAAATGAATCAAACTGTAACATAGACTCTCTATGGATCGACGTTGCATGCTTGAATAATAAGAATATAGCAGTAGGAATATGTTATCAACCAGCTCACCAGGATTGAGACGGTGATTATGAAATGTTCAGGTTGATTAGAGAGGCTACAAAAATAGAAAACCACTCAGATGGCAAATTAATGCAGATAGATAGATAGATATTGTGAAAAGAAAGAAAGAAAGAAAAAATGAAAGAAAGAAAGAAAGAAAGAAAGAAAGAAAGAAAGAAAGAAAGAA